ACATGGTTTTTCTTTTTGCATTTTCTACATGTTTCTTCCCATGCACTAAATTTTTTGGTCCATGGTTTTCCCACATATCTCACAGTAAAACGTTTCTTCTTCTTTGTTCTATCTATCTCTATACTGCTTATATTCTCTTTTTTAATGTTTACTTCCTGGGTCATTGTTGGCTCTACTGACAACTTTGCTTTGTGTTTTTGCCATTTCTGCGGCTCTGCAGATTGTTATAGCTCTATCAAGTTGAAAATCACTTTCTGTTAGAAGTATGTCTCGAGTGGTTTGTTCTTTTACTCCACATAAGATTCTGAAGGCAATCAGTTTATCTGAAATTGATCCAAACTTACAGTCCTTAGCTATGGTTCTCAAAGTGGTAATAAATTCATCTATTGGTTGATTTTCCTTCTGCATCTCAGTAAAGAATTTGTATCCGATATGGGTAGTGATCTTATAAGGCCGAAAATTATAACGTGGAGTAAGGTAGCTCTCTGTTGGGATATCGATTTGGTGCAAAGTTCTACCACTTCTATGAATAATTCGAATGACTGTCGCCATTTATCCCAGTTTTCGGCTGGGTTGTCTTCCATAATGAAAGTATCGGGAGGTTTAAATGCCATTTTTTTTCTGTTACCAGGACGAAGTTTTTTTTTTATTTCTTTTTTCTTGTTACTTTCTTTTCCCACTTGACAGATTATTAGGTTCTAAATAACACTTCAAACGGAGTCTTCATTTTTATGTCGTTGAGTCAAGTTGATACAAGATAGGATGGCGTATGTCATTTATGATTATGACATGACAGATGACAAAATAGAACTCAAGGTTCATGGTATAAAGGTTAAGCCTAAACTACTAACTAATGCCTATGTTACAGTATCTTGCCAAATTTATATTACTGTATGTCCAGCATTCACCCATGTTTCATCTACATAGAATACTTGTTTATGTTGATTTCTTGTGTCCGCTATTTTCCTTAAATAATCATGTATTCACACAATAATATCGTCTTTCTCTGTTAAAAACCTGTTTCTGTCACGTTTTTTGTAACAAAAATTTAATTTAGGTAATATTATTTTTTGCAGATTTCAATATGATATATTTGAACGAGTGGGAGCTATTATCTATTTCTAAGTGTAATATTTTAAGTGTAGAAATTTCATTTCGAAAGAAAAAAGAATGTACCATTTGCTTTATTACATTCTTTACCCAAGATTCAATAATGGTCTTGTTTCTTCCTGGGGGCTTTTTCGGATGTGAGACTCATAACTGTATCTTTATTAATTATGTTATACACTGTCCGATTACATACTCCAGTATTTAGTGGCTATTTCATCCACAGAAAGTGACACAAAGTGTTTTTAAAGATTATTCAATATATTAAGTACGATATTTTTTTTTCTTCTAAAGATAATGCTTTATGTCCACTAGTTCGTTTACGCATACTTATGGTTGCAATATTTTCTAATGCACTCGCCATTCTTATATAACTGTAAAACTATAATATTTACTAATAAAAAATTCCGAATTAATTAAAATACATAAGATACGGCTATGAATAGGAAAAGTCTGACTTCTCTGTCAAAAGAAAAGGTTTATTATAGTAAAAACCATGGAATCATGATTAAATCTAAACGAAAACTTTTATTGGGCCGATCAGATGTATTGAAATTTTCATTTGAACTACAAATAAGCATTGAAGGATGAGTTATAAATAAAATATCTCCCTATTAAACCTGTACTAAGTTCTGAAAATTAAATTACTGCACTCTTTTCTTTTCTAGACTATAAAATGTGCAAAATATAAGGTGCTTTGGATTAATAATAATTGTGAACTGTATTTTGATGTAGGTATTTATCATGAAAGAATCTTAACTTGATCACTCCATAGTTCAGTCGATAGGGTTCATTAATGCGCTTAGTACAGAAAACCAGGAATAAATTATAGTCAGAAACACGTCACTTTCTGTAGGAATAATTGAAAAAAAAAATCCTCAATACCTTTGGAATAAAATTATTTCTTGCTCTGATATTTATGGTAGAAATACGCGAAAAAAACTTCTATTGAGATTCCGAAATATCAAACACAACAATTTAAAATCCTATTTCTCTAATTAATTTAACAGTAGTAGGTAGCATTTATCAGAAAAATGTTTAAAATATTATATTATGACCAATTCATAAATGTGTAACATTCAAAGTTCATAATTTATTTAATTCTTTCTTCTCTTACATATCGATAAACAAGGACTCAAATATACTCAGTGCATACTGCCAGTGTCAGTGAAAAATGCTAATAGCATTCGTTATTAGATATACAGGGTGTTTCATATTATATGCGCAGGACTTCAGGACGTGATAGCTCGTCCAAAAATATGAAAAAACGTTTCTATTAACTTACCCTCTAAAATGCACCATTTTCAAGATACAGGGTGTTGAAATTGAAAAAAAAAATTTCTACGCCACTGGAAAAAGTACGGTTTTGAGACGCCCATTTGAACCGCCAATGTTTTTTACACAAAAAAGGTACTTTTGGTCATACGCTCTAAAGTCGACCGTTTTCGAGAAAAATCAAATTTTAATGTTGAAATATATGGTCATACATACTTGATGAAACAAAATCTACTCTCTGCTAATTTATTCTCTATTCTTAAATGTATTTTCAAATTTAGTTTACTTATTTAATACGGGGTATTCCTGTGTGTAAAAAATTTATTTAGCTTCAATTGTTATTTAAATGTTTATTTTATAAAGAAACATTAAATGGTAAAACTAAATAGTAATTAAACTTAAACTAAAAACATGTTTTTTTCCTAATGGTTTAGATGGCTTTCCCAATAAAACGATTGATGAGAGTTTATTTCTTTAACTGTCGACGTTTAAACTATTTTAAGATAATCCTTAGGATGGTAAAAGTATGTCAGATACGTTAAACTTCGTAAAATTATAGCGAAACTGTATTTAAAATCAAGAATAGCTGGTGATTTCTTGAAAATAGGAAGTTTGACTGATTATGCTCTTTGATTTTAATTTTAAGATTTTTAACGTCAAGTATCTACTTTTGTTATCCTGAGGATGACTTAAAATAGGTCAAAATGTCGACTATAAAAAAAGTGATTCTCAAAAATTGTTCTGTCTATTCTACTATTCTACTAAAAATTCTAATATTCTTCTAAAAATTTTACTAAAAATAAAAAAATTCTACTAGAAATATCAAATTCTAAAATAATTAAATTAGGTGTTCAAAAACGTTCCCTAATAGTAATAATTCGTCAATATTTACATTTCTTTTAGATTTCTTTAATTACTTGCACTAATTCTATGTTTAGCCACGAGATAGCAACACCTTCTAGATATAATCGAATTTAATGTAAATTCGTTCAGAAATCAATAAAAAAGTGTCTGAAATCGAATAATTTAAAATATATCAAATTAACTGTTACGTCGCCATTAAAAAAATAAATAAATATAAATTCAAAATAATTCAAAATAATATTCAAAAACTACATAACTTTTAATAATTTTGAAAATAGATTTAAAATCAGCATTAAATTATCTAAAACAATCGGTTTTATCTTCTATCTCTTGCATTAAGCGAGATACCAATATGGAGACTCGAATTTGGGATACAGCATAGATAGATGTGTCACATTAAATTAGATTAGTTTAGATTATATTCGCAGGCCTTTGAGGTAGAACAGCTTCAGCTGATTTTAGGTCTTTTTCACCATGTTTTTTCGTACTTTTATTTTTAAAGGTTGTATTTTAAGAATTGTATGTATTGTTATGCGAGCCATTTCATTATTCAGTCATGCTCTAATCCTCCAAGTCCCCCTCTGTCTTATTTGGCCTTTGAGGCTGAACCTGTCCGAATATCATGCATAATTAAACCCCTTAAGACCAAATATATGTGACGACTATGGCGAAGGCGCTTTCGAGTATATTCCAGGTAAAACATGATAATGTTTCTAGTTTTGTTGAGAACGTTCTAGACAACCACCACAATTTTAAATGTGTATATAAATATTGGTGGAGGAACACGTATAAAAACAGTTGTGAAGATAAATAGTGAACAATTTAAAGACATTCGAAATATAAGGAGTGACTCAAAAGTCTAGAAACGGCCAATTATCTCGTAAATTGCTAGTCCTAATTGTACAAAATTTGAAGTACACCTATTTTGGGATATGGAGATTCCAGATTTAATATTTGCAATGTTGCTAGACTTGCAGTTTCTCTTATATTATTAGTCACTTTGGTTTTTTAAATTCATCACCCTATATATTCAGTCATTATTGGAATTTCCTATTTAATACGAGTTCAGCCATATGTAACACCTATGATTTTATGTAGTCTGGAAGGTCTTAATTAAATAAAACAATCATGGAAAAATGTGGTAGATGCATTCTACCATCGATTAGGGTACTGTCAACTCATAAATGGAGCATATTCTGAACACTTGATAAAGTAACTATTATGTTAAAATTGTTGTATCCTTTTGATTGTTACGTTTAAAATGGTTTGTATTAAAAAATTTATTAAGACAATTAGGCATTGTCAGACTTCTGTTTTATTTATTTAAGACCTTCCAGACTACATAAAATCATAAGTGTTACTTATGGTTGAACTCGTATTGAATAGGAAATTCCAATAGTGACTGAATATACAGGGCGATGTATTTGAAAAACGAAAGTGACTAATAATATAAGAGAAACGGCAAATCTGGCAACATTGCAAATATCAAATCTGGAATCTCCGTATCCCAAAATATGTGTATGTATAATTAGGACTAGCAATTTACGAGATAATTGGCCGTTTCCAGACTTTTGGGCCACTCTGTATATAAATTATAATAGTGTTACAAAATAAATGTGTTTAAATAAATGATTTACAATTAAACTGTTGTTTAAAATAAACAAACATCACAGTATTTTATTTTTTTAAATAAAATATGATATGATATATCTAAATATTATTATAGCTTATTTTTTATAAAATTATGTACTTACTAAAAAATAACGATTCTAGTGAATTAATACCGATCAAAATGGGTACTTGAGTTATATCTCCGTTTTTCAGTTTCTCGTGGTTCATGCCCGTTACAAAAGGATTTTCATAATGTTCTTCCTCTTTTACAACACTCATAAGAATCGAAGTCATTGGATGACAGTTGCCGAAGTTGGGTTCTAAATACTTCTTAACCTTAAACAATTTTTTAAATTTACATTAGTCGTTTGAATAAAAATTGAGCATTTGCTTAAAGTATCTGACGGGTAATAACTAAAATTATTCCAAGCCAACAGACATTTTGATGCCTGCGATTTTTTAACTGTTCCTGGGTAATTTTTAGGTGCAGAATCCAAAATAGCAATCAGATTTCGTCTATAAGATCCAGTTTTTAAGATAGCCAATATTTACTATTTTTTAACTGTTATACAGGATGTTTCAGATTTGAACGGACACAGCTTAATAGGAGGTAGAGCACATTTAGTTGAGTTTAAAATACCCCATACATAACCTTTAATGTTACTCGTTTCTGAGATATAGGGTGTTTTATGATTTTTTGCCAAAACTAAAATCGTCCATTTTGTTTGAACAGCTAGAGATATTTTCATAAAATTTTGTACAAAACTTACACTCTCTTAGGTTAATGAAAACCATAATTTAATTTTAAAAAATTCCAGAACTGGACTCTCTTTTTTATATTGCTCTTCTTAGCTAGAATATCACCCTGTTTATCGGATTTTAATAAATGTTACTGCACATTTAAATATTACGTGGATCAGTAAATAAAATATTGTAATAAAATTTAAATTTAACATGTACACATGACCGGGCTCACTATTTGATAAAATAACAGAACAAACTAACAGAAACAAGTAATTAATTAAAACTAAAGTAGATTTTCAAAATGAACACCGTAAACATCAATATACCTCTGCGAACGTTTTAACAGATTTTTTTTACTGATTTGTCAATTATTTGCGGTTTATTTCTAATGTTGTTACATAGATTATTAATTTTTTTCAATAACTATGCTCGGATATTCATTTCTTCGTTGTACATCTCTGATAAAAGGTAGCCCTATAAAAAATAATCCAGAGGTGTTAGATCTGTAGATCTTGGTGGCCAATTGACGGAACCGCCTCGACATATCCATCTATTTGGGAAACGATGATTTAAATGGTATCTTACCAGTATTTGAAAATGAGGTCCCAGCACCATCGTGTTGAAACCACATTCCTCTAAGGAAATTTAAATAAACTTGAGCTGTTAATCTGCATTCAGAAACATGAGAGCCTATTAAATGATTTTTATAAATACCACACCATACATTTATAGAAAATTGAGGATTTTCAGTTGCCCAAATATGACCATCCCTAGTGATATTGATTCCATCACGTGTAAATTGGGATTTATCAGTAAATAAAATTATTGATTGATTTTGTCCTTCTGTGGGCCAAAGTCCATCTACAAAAAGATAAGCGGGATCCGTCGTCTAGGTGTTCAAGTTGCTGTACTTTTTTGTACATGAAATTGATGCAAATTTTCTTTTTTTAAAGTTTTCCATACTCTTTTTATCGGTACTGTTAATTCATTACTTATTCTTCTTACACTGATAGAAGGATTATTTTGAGCTACCTGTAGTATCTCCTCTTCTTGTCGAAGATTATTTCTCGGAGCATGTTCATGTTTAATTGTAGTTGGAAAATTTCCATGTTGCTTACTGAATCCGAAAACCTGCGAAAATGTCTTAGAATTTGGTTAACAGCGATTAGAAAAGCATCTGCAATACTCTCTTACTGCTGCTCTACCGTTTCCGTTATAAAAAAACCAAACACAAAAATAATGTCTGCATATTCTTCATTACTTAATTGAAACGACATCCTGAAATACTTATTTTCATACCATTAGAAACTTACACTCATGAACAAAAGTAGTTTAGCTCAAAATACTGTACATAAAATAATAGTATATTGTTTCACGAGTGACGAAAATGATTTTCGACGAGTAAAACACTATACTTTTTCTACGAACTCTATTATGTCATGTAGGTACCTACTAAAATGAAAAAAAACAAACGTTAGCAAATGCTTTATTTTGTGTTAGGAATAACAAAAAATTACCCAACAATTAAATATTTCAGAAATATTATTTATTATTTAAATATTGATTTATTGTTATATTTGAACAATTGTTCAAAATTATGGGGTATCACACTCAAGCTTTTTATTTATTGAGGTAGATGCCGACATATTTGTTCTACTGTTAAATGTCATTTCAGATGATGATGCGCCATAATCGGATGAACTAGTAGTTTCCTTATTTTGTACAGATTGTAAAATTTTGGTTTGTATTTGGTTTTTACTGTTCGTGGATTCATCAACATATCCTTCCGCAACACTACTAGATTTCCAACCACCGTGCTTTTTTAACAGAAGCAAGTCACCTCCTGCATCCGCTAATAGCGTTGCGGATGTTCTGCGGAAACAGTGCCCAGTGTAATCTTGAGGATTCGGAAGCGTTAAAAACTGAGCAATTTCGTTAGGAAATTTACTGATTTTATCAATTCCAACAACCTGTCTGCTACACTTTCCATTCTGATAGTTAATAAAGAATCTTGAATTAATTTGATCCATGTTTGCGGGACGTAGGCTCATATATTTTTTAGAAATATCATAAAAGGGTCCAGAAATATGAAAAGAACGCGGAACTTTTGTTTTTATATTACGGATTTTAACTAACAGAATACTTCCAGTATCCTTTACATCGCTTATTGTTAAATATTTTAGTTCGTGGCAACGACGAGCGCCAGATAATCCAAAAACTAATGCTACCTACAAATATTAGTAGTTATGTATTAAGTATTTGTTAAAATAAAAATAATAATTCCGTTGCCTTTGTTATTAAATATTTATAGTCAGGTGCATTCTTTAGGAAAGTCTTTATGTCTTCAGGCGAAAAAATTTTGGATTTTTGGCTTTTAAAACCATCAGATTTTCTTTTCAAAAGCGAACGTAACTTTGAATATTTACTAATATCGACATCATTTTTAACAGAGAGTGTAGTTCTTAGCATCGAATAAATGGACCATAACGTCGACGGTTTAAAATTTGAACATATGTCTCCAAAGTATGCTAGTAGTACAGTTTCCGAAAATGATTTCACTATATTTTTTTCTCTCCAGTCCAAAAATTTGATATAAATTTCTTCATTTATCTTTTTTGATTTGGCCGGTAATAAATCTGAAGAGGTTTCTTCAGCTTTAAAAATAATTTCTGGGGGAGTACAATCGCTTTCTGACTCAGACATCATGAAAATGTGTTAAATTTAGGACGAACTGAAACTGACAGTTCTCAAAAGTGATAAAACTTCAAATAAACAAATGAAAACCAGGAAACTAGATGTAGATTGGTTTAATTTGCATTATTTTTATACATTTTTATTTTATCTTTAATTCATTAAAGTTTAGGTAAAAACGCATATAGAATTTAATGAGCATCTTTTTATTTCATTATTAATAATTATAAGCTGCCAAAATATTATACGAGGTGACTGATATATGAAAATATGTAACAACTTACTTTCGTCACTAGAGACGAAAGTAAACGTTATGGGATTTTTTCTCACTAGTGACGGAAATCAAGTTTTCGCTGAAAGTATCCTGTGGCGAAAGATGTCTTTTTGTAAGAGTTCGTAGAAAAACGATATTATTTGTCATAAGCCTACTGGTATTATACAATTTTACACTCATCATGTTTAGGACGGAATGAGTGATAGTGTAATTTGGCGCATATTGGCAGTTGACTAATTTGAGTTTTCAGCTCGTTTATAAAATACCTAGTTTTTTGAACTTTTAAATTTGATTTCATCAGAGTTTTAGTTCGTTTAAGTTTTAGTTCATTTTAATTTCAAAATTACCTTAAAATGAACGTGGAAAGAGGAATGAATAAGGTGGTTCGAAATCATCTTTCTGTTAGTCTAAGAATTAGTAATAAATAAGCAGTTCCTAGGTACCAGAAAGAAGTGTATGGAGAACTTAAAAAAAATTATATTTGTATCTATTTTATGTACAAAAAGTTCAGCGAATTGAACACACATAAAATATTTTGTGTGGAATTTATAAAAAATCACTTAATATCCAAGCACATTTATTGAAAAAAATTAACAAAGTATTTAACAACATTAAAAATAAACCAAAATAAGTGAAAACACTGTAAAAACGTTCGCAGAGGTGTATTAACGTTCACGGTGTTAATTTTGAAAATCAAATATATACAGGGTGTCCCAAATTGTTTTACCCATGCTGTAACTTCTAAAACATGCAAGATAATCGAACCGGACAAAAGTCATCCATTATAATTGGCAGTGTACTTTGAAACAAATTAAAATTTGATGACCCACCCTTAAAAACTACCCCTCTGGAACAATCCCCTCAAAAATTATTAACGGCACCCTAATTTTTTTTCTGCTCATTTTTGTAGTCGCTACTTTTCTTGGTACAACTGTTCCAGGGGGTAGTTTTTAAGGGGAAGTCGTCAAATTTTTATTTGTTTTAAAGTATACCGCCAATTATATTGGATGCCTTTTGTCCGGTTCGATTATCTTGCATGGTTTAGAAGTTATAGCCTGGGTAAAACAATTTGGGACACCCTGTATATCAAATTATCCTACCATAATTTGCCCAAATCGGCCAGCAGTGTTGCACTTCCGGTCTCCTTGGTGAAACGCATTTTTATTATGTCAAATATAACCTATACCACATTCAGTAAAATAATACAGATCAGTGGTTTCTCTAGTAATAAGATAATAAAATAAAAAAATATAATTGAATATAACACGAATTTTATTAAATAAAAAACCTTGCCATTAAAGTTAACATTAAACTACTTTTAAATTTACCTTTAAAATAAAGTGCCATATTTTACAATACGTACATTTTTATCCCGCTAGAGGCCGCTATACTAAAAAATAACGCAATAAACAATCACATTGATCAATTCCCCATAAAAATCTCTTTTCAATGATGTGTTAAACTTTTCCTATATAAATTGTATTTGTTGAAGAGACGTACAGAAGGGGAAAGAGAGTTGAGGATATGATAGAAGGGCGTTCCCGTTAAAATATAAATCGATTTTTTTTTAAACAGTATCTGTTTCGAAATATTCAGTCTGTTTCATTTTCGGTGCCTTGTATACATT